ACTCAGCCATAAAAAGGAACACATTTGAGTCAGTTCTGATGAGATGGGTGGACCTAGAACCTATTATAGAGAGTGAAGTAAGTCAGAAAGAGAAAGATAAATATCATATTCTAGTGGATATATACGGAATCAAGAAAGATGGTACTGAAGAATTTATTTGCAGGGCAGCAATGAAGAAACAGACATAGAGAACAGACTTATGGACATGGGGAGAAGGGAGGAGAGGGCGAGATGTATGGAAAGAGTAACATGGAAACCTACATTGCCATGTGTAAAATAGATAGCCAACAGGAATTTGCTGTGAGGCTCAGGAAACTCAAGCAGGGGCTCTGTATCAATCTAGAGGGGTGGGATGGGGGGGGAGATGGGAGGGAGGTTCAAGAGGGAGGGGACATGTGTATACCTATGATCCATGGTGAGGTCTGACAGAAAACAGCAAACTCTGTAAAGCAACTATCCTTCACTTAAAAAATAAATTTATTAAAAAGAAAAGATCCTGATGCTGGGAAAGATTGAAGACAGGAGGAAAAGGGGATAACAGAAGATGAGATGGTTGGATGGCATCACCGACTCAATGGACATGAGTTCGAGCAAGCTCTGGAATTTGGGGATGAACAGGGAAGCCTGGTGTGCTGCGGTCCATGGGGTTGCAAAGACTTGGACATGACGGAGTGACTGAACTGAACTGAAAGCACAGGGCACAGGATGTCAAGTAATTAGATTTTCAGAGGGATTATGGAAGATATTGTCTGTTGAACACATATTTAAATTGGGGAACAGATAGTTTGATAAAAGAAGAGGGTTTGATATCATTAATACCAAAGTTCAAAGAAAAAAAATGTGTGAAGGGAGAGAACTTCAAGGAAGTTAATTGGGGCAGAAACGGAGAAGGGTTACAAGGTTAGTGGCTGGATATTTAAGTGGAAAATAGGAGTCATACTGTGAAAGGATGAAGAGTTTGGATTTTGTCCTGTGGGAAAGAAAATGTGACTTCTAAAAAACTGAAGCAGTTTTGCTACTTAAAATAGTAAATTTGATGTCTATGTTTGGAAAGATAATGCAAAGGAGGCTACTGCTATAAGGATGCAGGCAGTAACAGAGTGGAGGAGAAGCCATTCAACAGAGATGCTCACATGAACTAAACCTGAAATGATGGCTAACTTTTGCTGGGAATGAAAAGATTCACATTCAGCCTAGAACACCTACTTTTAAAGAGCAGGTAGAGGGCTATACCATTTAGAGATACAGAAAATACAGGAGGGTAGTAGAAGCTTGTGACAGAGTAATGCACTGTGTTTTCATTGGTGGAGCTCTGTGTGCAGCCGGACCATGTAAACCTATTCGAGGAGTGCAAATTGGGTCCAGACATGTGTAAACTGCTGAGGTGCTGGCGTAGCTGTGAGGGCCCTTTCAGTTAAAGCGATGACATAGATGTCAGGTAAAATGAACTGTGCCTTTTATTTATCAACCAGATCCTACATGATCATTGATGAGAGTCTCAAGAGCAGAATGTGACACTGGAGATTAATAATTTAAAATGTTAGAGTGGGAGCTGAGGAAGTGTGAACACCAAGCCTCTTTCAAGCAGCTTGGTGGTGAAATAACCAAAGAGGACAGAGAGAGTTTAATGAAAAGAGTGAGGCACAGCTGGGAGAGGCATGCGTGTCTATGTCTTCGTACCTTAGTGGATCCAACTATGACCATATTTTTGGATGGGAATTGTCACCTCAGGTTGTACTTTATATGATGACTATGACAGCTCTTTGTAATATCAATATGAAAACTATAATTTAAAACAAATATATTCAGAGAAGATAAAATATTAACTAAGATCTCTTTTTAGCACCTTACTTCACTGATGGTGAAGTTTGCAGTGTTATTCTTTTCATTATGTAAGTATGTGTCAGTCCTGTAGGAGAGGTCTATCAATTAAATGAGGGCAGGTAAGAACAACTCATTATGAGAAATCCCAGGTGGGGAGAGAAGAGACATGAAATCCTAACACTGAGGTTAAATGATTCTAATCTAAACAATTTTTTTTTTAATCTGTCCAGCAGCATGGAAGTCACAGAGAAAAGACAGAGTTTCATCATCAAACTTCGTAGGTGCCAAGACTCCTAAGAGAAACTTGACAGTCTGAGCACAAAGGCAGCCCATGATCCAGCAGAACGCATGTAATACATGTGAAAGAAAAGAAAGTGAAAGGGAAAGTCACTCAGTCGTGTCCGACTCTTTGTGACCCCATGGACTATACAGTCCATGGAGTTCTCCAGGCCAGAATACTGGAGTGGGTAGCCTTTCCCTTCTCCAGGGGATCTTCCAGATCCAGGGATCGGGCCCAGGTCTTCTGTACTGCAGGCGGATTCTTCACCAGCTGAACCACAAGGGAAGCCCGAGAATACCGGAGTGGACAGCCTCTCCCTTCTCGAGAGGATCTTCCCAACCCAGGAACCAAACCTGGGTCTCCTGCATTGAAGGTGGATTCTTTACCAACTGACCTATTTGTTAAATGATAGATCATGTTGTTAAGTTTCTCTCTGTCTCTTTGTGTGTATATATAGAATTTGAATGCTGAAATCATAACAAGGGTAAAGCATTCAGACCAAATCCTTTGGGATTTTGAATTATTACAAATACATACACTTGGCTTTAAGATGTTTGATGGAAAACTAAACATCTATAAATCTTCTGAATAATGCTCTGCAAACTGCCTGATAGCTACCTTTAGAGACTGTTTTTATTGCTGTGGTGTGTTCCTTTGTTGACCATAGTCTTAAAATTCTAGTACTGTGATGAGGACTGACTTAATTAACATTTAAAAGACACAAAGAATTTGTGAGGAATGTACATTTCAAATATTTGCAGTTCTACAAATTTTAGGTGTGGAAATACTTGTATAGTCTATATTATTTTATTTAGTTTATTTCTAAATAATATGCCTATTGAGATTCACATGTTTCCTTTGTACATCTTTATGCAAAACCATGTCTTTTTGATGTCCATTTTTACCTGAAAACTAAATTTTAACCAATACATAAGAAGAATTTATGGCTATAGAGCCTGATGGAGAAGGCAATGGCACCCCACTCCAGTACTCTTGCCTGGAAAATCCCAGGGACCGGGGAGCCTGGTAGGCTGCAGTCCATGGGGTCGCCAGGAGTCGGACACAACTGAGCGACTTCACTTTCCCTTTTCACTTTCATGCATTGGAGAAGGAAATGGCAACCCACTCCAGTGTTCTTGCCTGGAGAATCCCAGGGATGGGGGAGCCTGGTGGGCTGCCATCTATGGATCGTATAGAGTCGGACACGAATGAAGCGACTTAGCAGAAGCAGCTGCAGTATACAGCCTGGAGGTTTGATAATATGATATTCGCATGCCTAAGAAAGCATGGGGACCATATGGCTATAAGTAGGCAACTCTAGCCTTTGGTTTGGCTTCTGATTTTAAGATGCTAAATCATCAATTACATAATATCAAAAATGACTATTACACACACTCTCTCTCACCAGGTCTATAATATACAAACATATACTCTGTGCTTTAACAAAATTACAGCTTGTTAGCTGTCAACTATTAAAACCACTGGGGGTCTAATTAATTCGTTGTTGTTCAGTCACTAAGTCCTGTCCAGCACTTTGCGACTCCATGGACTACAGCACGCCAGGCCTCCTGGTCCTTCACTGCACACACACACACACACACACACACACACACACAATTTTGTATTTCATCCACTATAGGACCCCTTATGAATTTTCAGAACTGTAATGAACCAATATTAGTTCTTTAAAATGATGATAGTAAAAAGAAAACAAAAAATAACTGTATTTAAATCAGTTAGCTATTTTTTGTAATCATTTACTGAGAAATATTTTATCAAGTATTTCACCAACATTCGGGAGTCAGACTGAACTCAACTATATGCACATTTACTTCAAAGTTTAAAATCTATATATAACTTTAACTAAAGCAGATTCTGAATGAGATAATAGGAAGACCAGAGTAACCTGGGAATATGCTGTTCTAGAGTGAAGCTTGCCTTCATTGAGCTGGTTAGTGCTTAAATTACAATGTCCACAGGGAACAGAAAATCTAGTCTTAATTCAGCCCATTTCTGTTCTCTGAAATAACTGGATTGATGAGGAATTGCTGGAGGAGCTGGGAAAGGACTTTTCAGAGATATTGGTATATATCTGTGAAATGTTGATGCAAGATACTAAGACACTCAACAAGGGTTAAAAACAGGACCAACCCTCCAGGAAGAGAGATGGCAATAGCCAGCCAGCAAATGAGAACCTTAACTAAACCTCCAGAAAATGAAGCCTCTAAAGAGCAGGCTTCATCTTCACCAAAAGGACTGCAACTCACTTAAACTATATATATATATGAGACTTAGGGCAGAGGGCCAATTCCAGATGAGATTTACTTTTGTAAATTTGGTTCCTGGTGTGTTGCCAGGCTAAAATAATTAAGTGAAGCTGAGCACTTACATAGAAAGTTGGAAGGACATACAACTGGATGGAAGTGAAGAAGTCAAGGACAAACACAAAGCTAACTATCTAAGACCCTGATGCTGGGAAAGATTGAGGGCAGGAGGAGAAGGGGATGACAGAGGATGACATAGTTGGATGGCATCACTGACTCAATAGACATGAGTTTAAGCAAGCTCCAAGAGATGGTGAGGGACAGGAAAGCCTGGTATGCTGCAGTACATAGGGTCGCAGAGTTGCACATGACTTAGTGACTGAGCAACTATCTAAACTGTGTCACAGAATTTGGGAACAGAAAGAAGTAGAAAATTAATGAGCTTTTTATAGACTGCATCAAGGGATAAAGAAGTATCAGACCATTTGTGACATCATGATTATAATTATTCCCAATTATTTACTACCCACTTCCCTGAAAAGGATTATTTATCAGTTGCTTGCCTTGGATTGGCAGTGCCTTCCAGCAGGAAGTATTAAGAGTGCACTTACTTAAGCCCCTTAGTTACTTACTTGACCACGTGCTTTCTCTTGGTGAATGATGTGACAGGATGTCAGTTCCAAACAGAAACATTGAGAGCCAGGGTAGGTTTTATCCAACTCTTGCTTTGTTTATTTTTTTAATCTGCCACAAGACAGCATGTCACAATATACAGTAATTTCTTTTCATCCTGAAATGAAGGAAAAAGTGGAACATGAGCAGAGCTGTCAACAACTAAAGCCAATGGAGGGAAATGAATACATGCTGCTGTGAGTCACTGATATTTTGGAGGTGGTTTATTAACCCAGCAAAGCTCAGTGGTTCAAAAACTATGTAAGAAGTGAAGCACAGCCACATAGAAAAAGCAGCATATGTGGTCCTGGCTCCAGGGCTGAAAATCAACTATAATTGGTGGATGGAAAATGGCAACCTGTTTTGTGTATTGATAAAATTTTATGTATTAATGAAATTCATAGCAATGTTTTTAAACATTTGTAACAATTATAAAAACAATGTTTTGTAACATTTTAGGAATGTTAGGCAGCAAAATGGCTGTCCGAGGAGGCCATAAATATAGCTATGAAAAGAAGGGAGGCAAAAAGCAAAGGGACAAAGGAAAGATATACCCATTTGAATGCAGAGTTCCAAAGAATAGCCAGGAGAGATAAGAAAGCCTTCCTCAGTGATAAATGCAAAGAAATAGAGGAAAACAACAGAATGGGAAAGACTAGAGATCTCTTCAAGAAAATTAGAGATACCAAGGGAACATTTCATGCAAAGATGGGCTCAGTAAAGAACAGAAATGGTAGGGACCTAACAGAAGCAGAAGACATTAAGAAGAGGTGGCAAGAATACACAGAACTATACAAAAATGATCTTTATGACCCAGATAATCATGATGGGGTGATCACTCACCTAGAGCCAGACATCCTGGAATGTGAAGTCAAGTGGGCCTTAGGAAGCATCACTATGAACAAAGCTAGTGGAGGTGATGGAATTCCAGTTGAGCTATTTCAAATCCTGAAAGATGATGCTGNAATCACTGCAGATGGTGATTGCAGCCATGAAATTAAAAGACACTTACTCCTTGGAAGGAAAGTTATGACCAACCTAGACAGCATATTAAAAAGCAGAGACATTACATTGCCAACAAAGGTCTGTCTAGTCAAGGCTATGGTTTTTCCAGTGGTCATGTATGGATGTGAGAGTTGGACTATAAAGAAAGCTGAGTGCAGAAAAATTGATGCTTTTCAACTGTGGTGTTGGAGAAGACTCTCGAGAGTCCCTTGGACTGCAAGGAGACCCATCTTAAACGAGATCAGTCCTGGGTGTTCATTGAAAGGACTGATGTTGAAGTTGAAACTCCAATACTTTGGCCACCTTATGTGAAGAGCTGACTCATTGGGAAAGACCCTGATGCTGGGAAAGATTGAAAGCAGGAGGAGAAGGGGATGACAGAGGATGAGATGGTTGGATGGCATCACCGACTCGATGGATATGGGTTTGGGTGGATTCCGGGAGCTGGTTATGGATAGTGAGGCCTGGCGTGCTGAGATTCATGGGGTTTCAAAGAGTCAGACACAACTGAGTGACTGAACTGAGCTGAACAATGTTTTTTACAATAACATTTAAGTCATTTAATGTACCTAATTAACTTGTCACTTTTGGCAAAAGGGGTAAAACCTAGAATTTTATCAAGTGTACTTTTGCTATTGGCTGTATTTAAGAAAACAAAGATGAGACCAGAATAGAACTCACTAGTTAGCAAGGAGTAAAAGAGGAATAAGACAGTGCAGATAACTAAGGACTTGCAGGGTTGAAAAACTTGGAAGTTCTTGAAAGACTCAAACTTATAATTAACCCAGAGAAAGACCAAATTAAGATACAGGTTCATGTCCCTATGGGAAAGTAGGGAGTTCCTATGAAAAGGTTCATTAAGTCAAAATAGCAATAAAGTGAAGAAGCAATTACGATACTGTAGGACATGATGCTGGTGGAGAACAAGATAAACTGTGACAAAGCAGAGATGCTCATGGGCAGTTCAAGGCTCATGGGAAGTTCAAGCAGCTTGATGCTGGGATGTGGAGTGTTGTACCCAGGAAAGGAGCTTGGTTGGGTGATTTGAGTGCGCACTGCTTTTGCAACAGCTCACTGCAAAACACAGGTGCAAAGCTAGTTTGTCTTTTTGCCTTTTTATGTAAAAGCTAAAAATCTCTTCAGATTTTTTGGTTAATGAAAACAAAAACCCATATAAAAAACATGTCTTTTGTAAAAGTGAAGTGGCCTAAGGCAAACTTTCCAAAAGCAGGGGATACCTATAATTGTCATCTGCTCTTGGTTCATAAGTCCGAATAGATTATGGTAGCTACAGATAAACCATTTCAGTTGAACAAAATAGGACACAGAGAATGGACCAAGATTGGCTTCAGAGTGAAGTCTAATAAACTCAATATAACATTACATAAGGGCAAGTCAGGGACTTCCTTGCTGGTCCAGTGGTTAAGACTCCATGCTCCCAATGCAGGGGGCTCAGGTTCAATCCCTGATCAGGGATCTAGATTCTATACACCACAACTAAGAGCTTGCATGCCCCAACTAAAGATCCTGCATGTCCCAGCTAAAGATCCCACATGCTGCAACTTAGGAACTCGTATGCCACACTTCAGACAGAAATGGTATGAACCTAAGAGAAGCAGCAGATATTAAGAAGAGGTGGCAAGAATACACAGAAGAATTATACAAAAAAAGATATTCGTGACCCAGATAATCACAATGGTGTGATCACTCACCTAGAGCCAGCCATCCTGGAATGTGAAGGCAGGTGGGCCTTAGGAAGCATCACTACAAACAAAGCTAGTGGAGGTGATGGAATTCCAGTTGAGCTATTTCAAATCCTAAAAGATGATGCTGTGAAAGTGCTGCACTCAATATGCCAGCAAATTTGGAAAACTCAACAGTGGCCACAGGACTGGAAAAAGTCAGTTTTCATTCCAATCCCCAAAAAAGGCAATGCCAAACAATGCTCAAACTACCACACAATTGCACTCATCTCACATGCTAGGAAAGTAATGTTCAAAATTCTCCAAGCCAGGTCTCAACAGTACATGAACCATGAACTTCCAGATGTTCAAGCTGGTTTTAGAAAAGGCAGGGGAACAAGAGATCAAATTGCCAATGTCCATTGGATTATCTTATGGGCCAAATAAGCCAGGAGGCCAAGTTCATGTTCATGGGTGGAGAAGGTCATTCCTTCCCCTAGGAAAGCACGGTGATTGTATAACAACATAGTGATGCATAATCACTAAAAAGCAAGAGGAAAATAACACAATAGTACAAAGAACAATATCCACAATCTTGGTCACAAACATCTGTGTGTGTGTGTGCTCAGTCATATCCAGCTCTTTGCAGCCCCATGGACTGTAACCCACCAGGCTCCTCTGTCCATGGGATTTCCCAGGCAAGAATGCTGGAGCAGGTTGCCGTTTCCTACTCCAGGGGATCTTCCCAACCCAGGGATTGAACCTACATCTCTTGCATCTCCTGCATTGGCAGGCAGATACTTTATCACTGAGCCACCAGGGTAGCCAAATCACAATCCTCTTTTTTACTGATAGTAAAGATTGGCAACCCTTCCCCCAAGGAAGATGTGCCCAAAACACAATCCAGTCATGACAATCAGATTCATATTTGAGAAGATATTAATCATCTCTATTGGGCTTCCCTAGGGTTCAGTGTTAAAGAATCTGCCTATCAAGCTGGAGACCAGGGTGTGATCCATGGGATGGGAAGATATCCTGGAGAAGGAAGTGGCAACCCACTCCAGTATTCTTTCTGGAAAATCTCACAGACAGAGTAACCTGGTGGGATTCAGTCCATGGGGACTCGAAGAGTTCAGGCTCAACTGAATTATTGAGCATACACACACATTTAATCTCTATCAATCAATTCAATTCACTCCCTCAGTTGTGTCTGACTATTTGTGACCCCATGAACTGCAGAGTGCCAGGCCTCCCTGTCCATCACCAACTCCCAGAGTTTACCCAAACCCATGTCCATTGAGTCGGTGATGCCATCCAACCATCTCATCCTATCTCATCCCCTTCTCCTCCTGCCCTCGATCTTTCTCAGCATCAGGGTATTTTCAAATGAGTCAGCTCTCCGCATGAGGTGGCCAAAGTATTGAAGTTTCACCTTCCTTCCAGTGAACACCCAGGACTGACCTCTTTTAGGATGGACTGGTTGGATCTCCTTGCAGTCCAATGGACTCTCAAGGGTCTTAATCTCTATAGGAGGTCCAAATTGAGCTTTTAAAAGTTGGTGGCACATGAACACACAAACACATACACACACTCACTCATTCTGTATTCTAATTCCTAAATACTCAAGGTTAATAGTGGAATAAGAGCTAGATATCCACAATTAATACTACTATTCAGAAATGGGATGTGAGTGGTATATAGTCATCAGTGACTCATAGTAATTCTGGAATTCTGTTGGCCAGGTTTTTCAAGGAACATAAAATATTTCTTGATTATGAGATAATTATGCTTCCTGGATATTCTCCAATCTGTCCTTCTTAGTGGCCCTCAGCTCTACTTCTGGACAATTCTTATTTATTATATGAGTAAACTTTGTTAACTCTGAAGAGAGCATTGAAGACCATACCTTCTTTGTGCTTGAATAGCTTGCTCACTAGTTCCAGAAGTTACACATCTATGCAAAGCTGTTGTACATCTCAAATAGTCACCATCTCTTTTAATCCATGCTGGTGGTTCTTTTGACAGTGCATCTCTCTTAATAACATTGTTTTTCCTTTGTTTGATTTCAGTCATTTCCATGTGCAAACCAACACACTCACAGAGCTTTCTGAGGCAGCCCCTGGCCCCTTTATTCTGTCTTGTCCTTATTTTTCAACATTTATTTTATTTATGCATTATTTGGCTGCTCAGGGTTTTAGTTGTGGCATCAGTTCAGTTCAGTCGTTCATGGGCAACTGTTTGCGACCCCATGGACTGCAGCATGCCAGGCCTCCCTGTCCATCACCACCTCCTGGAGTTTACCCAGATTCATGTCCATTGAGTCGGTGATGCCATCCAACCATCTCATCCTCTGTCATCCCCTTCTCCTCCCGCCTTCAATCTTTCCCAGAATCAGGGTCTTTTCAAATGAGTCAGTTCTT